ATGGAGACATGTCAGGACCACGGAGCCTGCTGACACCTTCCCTGACAAAAACTAGAGTTAGCTGTTGCTCTCTCGTTTCATTGTGCACAGTATGTTATTGCCTTATATATCCTGGCAGAACTCAGGATACATAATGATTGTAGTACTGAAACCGGTGCCAACTCTTTGAATTTCTCCCAACAGAAGGCGTGGCAATAGGCACTACGCCTTCATAACAGCCTGAAATATTTTTCCCAGGGACAAACAATGTCAAAGAAATCTTTAAAAGTTAGTCTACAGTCTGTGGAAACAGACTTCAGAGCCAAAACGTGAAAGAGAATGTATTGTGCTGTGATCCTTTGATGTGTGACATGAGTTAGTAGCCTGTAGCTCTATAGAAATTTCTCAGTTATGTACACAGATATATTCATGGCCATCCTTAATGAGCTTTTAAATGACACAGGCTGTTCTTTTAATAAATCACTCTCATGGTGTTGTGCTTCGGACAGTCTGTTTATTCTTTTATTATGATGGCCAATTCTAATTATATTACAATAAAGTCAATAGTGAAACTGGTGGTGCAGGTGAGGTTGGGCTGAGCAGGAGCTAGTGCAGGATGTTTTGTTGTTGCCGTACTAAAAGTTGATATTTATTCTAAAAGCGTGCATAGACTCTGAATATGAGAAAAGCCACAGGGTCTTGCCCAAGGACACTTTGACATGTAGACTACAGGCACCAAGATTCAATCCGCCGACCCGGCCACCATTAGCTTTGCTGTTTTAGCACGGTTATAATGATCTTTTATATTTCTCAGTGTTTTTGTTATGATAAAACCAGAAAGTACAGAAAATGTGTACACAATATTAAAAAACAACATTTTCAGAACAAGCTGGCTTCTACAGTGCAAAGTCAGTATTTAGTGTGACCTCTTTTTGCACTTATCACAGCTTGAATTCTTCTGGGGAGACTGTCTTGAAGTTTTGAAACCACGACAGACTCTCCAGCACGTTTCACTGAAGGCTGCAGCCACTCATTCTTCCACCTCTTTCCAGCTCTTATTCTCACATACTGTCGACAATTGGACCGGGAAATTTCAAACTTCAATTCATCACTCCATAATATCCACTGATTTCACTCCAGTCTTTGTGAGCTTTTGCATATCTCAGCCTTTTCTCCCAGTCCTTCTTCTGACAAAGTGTTTTCTTGGCTGCTGTCCTTCCACAAACGCCGGTCCTGATCGAGCTTCTTCAGACTGTGGAAAGATCGACTTGGTATCCAGGTGAAGCTGCCAGATGTTGAGCCAGGTCCTTGCTAGATTTCCTCTGGGCTCTCAAAGAAGAAATTCTGAGAAACTTCTCATAAGATTTTGATAGTTTTCTTGCTCTTCCACTCATGTTTTTGTCCTTGACCTCTCCAGATTCTTCATATTTCTTTAGATCACCTTGAATACCACATCTTGAATATCCAGTTTATTTGCTTTTTAATACTGTGCACACATTCCCTATACTTTCTAGTTGTATTTCATAAATAAATATATATAGTCATCATAATATTGCTAAAACAACAAACCTAATGGTGTGTACTGAATCAGCCCAGCACTGCAGGGGTGTCAATTATAAAAGAGGCACAGTGACACCAAAGGTTTTCTTAGCTTGTTTATTGTGCTGGTATGAAGGGAATGTTTGATCCTTAGACTTTCCTGGAAATACAACAGAAGTGCAGTTGTTTCTGGCCACCAACATGCTGAAATGAGCATGCGGCATTGCCTCCATAGTGCATTTACACAAGCTACTGTACCTCCCCATTTTGTATTAAAAATAATACAACTTCTGAACTGTAGTGATAATCACCCATGTTTTCTATGGCAAAAGAACACCTTACACTGACACTTACTTTCAAAGGATACCACACATAATATCACACCCCATGCACCCAGGCGGTTCTTCCATTAGCATGCCTGCATTCCACAATGTCCCTACTTGCAGACTGGTTCCTGCGCCACTCGGCGGTCATGTGTTTGCTGCTGCACAGCCTGGTGCTAATGACCTTCTGCTTCCACCATGCGGCCACAAGTTGCTCCGAGAGATGCTACTGCTCAGAGAATGAGAGCAGTGGCAAGACAGTGCGCTGCAGCAATCTACAGCTCACAGAAATCCCTGAAGACATCCCCAACGACACACAACGCATCTACCTGGACTTCAACCTCTTCACTAAAGTCCCAACAAATGCTTTTGTAGGTTTGCCCCATTTGGTTGAACTGGATCTATCACACAATGAATTAAGCCAGTTAGAACCGGGGGCGTTCCGCGGTCTGGGCTCCTCGCTACAGCTCCTGGACCTTTCTTTTAACAAGCTGGTCAACTTTAACCCTGAGGCCTTTGAGGGCCTGCATGCTCGCGCCAACCTAACAAACAATCCATGGCACTGTGACTGCAACTTGCAGATGGCCATGTCCTATGTGGACCTGGAGCCTGCCTCGCTCAAGGGCATTGTGTGCCAGACTTCAGATCCTAAGGAAATAGGAGTTCAAGGACTTGCTTTTTTGTTGGCAGCAGACACAGACTTATGTGTGATGATGAAGAGAACTACAGATGTGGTCATGCTGGTCGTCATGTTCGGCTGGTTCACCATGGTCATCTCGTACTTGGTGTACTATGTCAGGGTTAATCAGGAGGATGCCCGCAAACATCTGGAGTATCTTAAGTCATTGCCCAGCAAACAGAGCAAGTCAGAGGAGTCTTCCACTGTGAGTACTCTGGTATAGGGCTGATGGAGCTACTCATGGGACCTGAATGTAACAACCTGCGACTACACTGGCATCGTCAGTTACAGACAGTTTTGCCCAGCTGTTGTCACAGAGTAAAGGTGGGCAACAAGACATGTCTGCACAAAAATACGAAGCCCGTGCAACCTAGTCCACATGAATAATTCATCTTTCAGCGGTCCATTATGAGCTTTTCTTGGCTGAGTTGATGGTTTGTTTAGTCTGTGCACTAACTGAATAAAAGCAGTGGCATGTTTATGACTAACTCCAGATACGGGGTCCAAATGGGATCTATCCAGTGGTGCATGCACTTTGATGTGCCTCTTTCACACATAGACTATTCAGGAAACAGTGTTAACAGCCTCAGTAACAGTGGTAAAAGCAACAATATAATAATGACAAACTTAGCATAACTGCTTTCTATTTAAATCCTTACAGTATTTACCAATATATAACAAGGGAAATTAGAGCTTCCATTAAATTGTTGCTTTTGGGTTTCTCTTACTAAACTCACTCAACTGTCTCACAAAAATAAAAAAGTCTCACAAAAAATAAATACAGTATTTAGTGTCTGAATTTCTTCAATCTTTAGCAAATGCATTTACAGCTCATTATGCTGATGTATCAGATCACTGCATGGTGAAGAACTCATCAGTTATTCAGTGATGCTACAGTATTGATCACATTAGAAGCATTTTACCAGGAAAACCTCCCCATTATAGTGGGACCCTAAATGACAGCACAGCAGTACCGTACACTGTACATAAAGATGTACTCCCTTTCTTTTAATTTGCCAGTGTTCTTATATGTTTGTCTATGTCAACCCATATTGTTAAAGTTATAAATGTAGGGACTTAGGATGCTGTGGCCTTGTGAGGAAGGAAGATACCAAAATTGTCCAACTTTGATCATTCCTGTTAGCTACTGTATATGATGGAAGCAAAGTTTAGGTTAAAACATGTAATGCCTACCTGATACCAGAAGAACACTGCAACTGTGGAATTAATCCTCAGAATATGCTAATGTTGACATGCTAATCCTTAGTCCCAATGATCCTATAAGCAAGTCATATAATTGTGAGAAAAGGTTGATTTGAAAAGCAGAGATTTAGAGGTTACTGTAGTTCAGCTGTCATGAAACCAGACTGTTGGAGCAAAACAAGAACATTTTTTCCAATTCTGGTTGGAAAAGCCCTTCAGTAAACACTGACTATGCTACTTCACTGAGCACTTCATGATCATACCTGGTTATCTAGACACAACCTCTGCTTCTCTGCTGTTTTTCATTGTCTCTCAGCACCCAGGGTGGCGCTGAGAGCCACATTGTCTGATGTGGTCACTCCCATGGGGTTTTCCAAATACCATTATGAGACCAGGACTTGCTGGTCCATTTAAAAGAGCTGATAAAATCATCAGTGTAGAGTCAGACCACAAAAATGGAAGTGTATTTGAGTAGAGATGTAATTTAATCAACTCCAGGATGTGCTCTAAGATGTGCTATTTTCCACAGAGCAAGGTAAGAATAACCCAGTAAAGTCTTGAATAATGAAATTTGATGTTTAAGATGTGGGAAATGGTTTGTCAACAAGGGTTTCCCTGTGTCTGACACACAAATGCCTCGAGAGCAGAGCAAGATCAATAAAAGATTTATGATGGGCATAAAATACACTTGAGCAGAAAGTCTACACCCATCATCTTGTGTGACTCACTTCTTGAGGAGAAGTTAAGGGAGAGTGCCACAGAGGATCGGCTTCCCCCCTCTCAGCTGCCTGGCTCACCTTTGCTTGGAAAAAAGGACTTTCCAAATGCTTTTGGGCTGCTCAGTGAAGTTTGTGAGGATTCACCGAGGCAGCCAAAATCAGGTCTACCTCATCCTCATACCTTTTTTGTGGTACTGTCCCATTCTGATTTCCATGTGTCATAGTTTATATTACCAGACTGAATTTGTTTTACAGAAAATATTGGTATTGATCTGATCTTGACATCTTAAGGAAGCCCAGGTACAGCCTCCAGTGATGAGCAGGAGGTTCAACAGCACTGAAAAATAGATGGTAAGCCTTCCTCACTGACATTTCCTACCATACACACACACAATCAGCTCTCTCCTTCCTTCTTTCCTCTGATACCAGGCTCTCACGGTGGCTTTGAAACCAGCCATTGTTAAGGGAATCTCACCAGGGAATCTCGCCACTGGAGGAGATAAATGTAAAACTAGTAACAGACATGTTTGCTGTTGTGCTTCCTTCAGCTAATGTGTTTCAGTGTGTACAATCCTTTGTTCACCTGTATGTACAACAGGTGTGTGTGCATGCTAGGAGTAAGGGTACTGGTAATGTAACACCTCTGTTCCTCAGCACACATGAATGTCGCTGAGGTTAATTTAAATTTCAGGGCAGCTCAGCTTGCCCCGCCTGCTACCTTAGACACAATACACTGGTGTGAGCATTACAACTGCTGGGTAATGGGACACAAAGTGGGGGATAAGGTGACACATCCAATCCCACAGAGCGCAGCCATGTATAGAGTTGGGTTGCAGCTGGAAATGTCTGCAGTCGCTGAGATCACATGGAGTCTTCCAGTGAGGGACTGTGCGGGCACCTGTTGATTTCCTCTTTTAGCCAAAAGGTACATCACATCTAAGATGCTGCATCTAAAGACAACAACAAGGATGCCCTTTGGGTGAGTGTCATTATTCTGAAATGTCTCCTTTTTGTTGTTGTTATTCTCTAGGGGGTGATTCAAATAGGAAAGACAGATCACAACAGCTGTCTCAGGACAGATCACTGTCAAGGTCCCAGTTTAAGTTTTGTGTTTTAGCTCCCCCTGTCACAGAAAGCATTTTCCTAATTTATTGGGTTTAATTCTAATTTCCCTTAAGTAATGAATATCAGTCAGAGTTGGATACACACACACACTACACACTTTCACATACACAACTTAATACCCTCAATTAATAATCCCTTTGCCTCTTTCGTTAATGTCTGTTTGCTCATGAACTATGTTATGTGCTTTGTCCTATAAATGTGTTATTTTGTGTTGCAAAAAAAAAAATAAAGTAAAAAAGATCGAGAATAATAAAAAAAAAGAAAGCATGTAAGTGTGGGGTAAATAAATGCCTTCATGTTTTCACATTACGATTAACATCAGCAGCAAAGCACACTACACACAGGAAACATACAGAACCAAAAACACAGAGGGCAGCAGCAAACAGTAGTTTCAAACATCTGTTCACAGCAGGGCTGCATTAAGCCAGTAATGGGCCCTGGGGGAAAAATTAGGCTCCCATACACTTGTTCCTCAAAACCATTTCACCAGAAATTCCATTAACCAACTGGAATATGATCTGCACCGGGTTTGCTCTAATTCGGTTTGTGAACTCATTTGTTTAAGAACATGTATTACGTATATAAGCATATGAAACTAAAATACTAAACTAGAATTTTCAAGATAGGAACTCAAGAGTAGGTATTACTAGGTAACAATCCAGGAACAATGAGAGCAAAGAAGGAGCAACACTGAAAAAAGGATTATGAATCCCTCTATTACTATACACCCCTCCTTGAACCGCCACCTTATTGTGGTGGAGGGGTTTGAGTACCCAAGTGATCCTAGGAGCTATGTTGTCGGGGGCTATATGTCCCTGGTAGGGTCTCCCAAGGCAAACAGGTCCTGGGTGACGGGTCAGACTAA